TCTTGATGTTATCGGGCTGGGGTGGGGGGAGCGATCCCAGCGTTCGGCACCTTTGGAAAATGCCTAAAAAAAAAAAAAAAAATAAATACCTCGTGAATGAAATTGGGTAGATAGGACTATTTGGGAGCCGTCGATGGTTGAATTAGCACGAAGTTGCAAGTCATCGTGACCGAGAGGTTGAGCGTATTGACATTGTCCAGGCTGTTCATCTCGCCAAGTAATGAGTTCTCTCCCAGAAACTGTAACTACGGTCCTCTCAGCATAGTTACAGTATAAAACACAGGTGGACTCTTTGGGTGATGAACAAACAAAAATATGCCTGAGCAGGCGTCTACAATAGGGATTGGCTAGCTACGCTAGTATATATATAAATCATTATTTACTTTTACAGTACTTTCAGATCTGTATCTAGATTCGTACTGTGTTCACGATGAGTTGTATTAGTCATGGATGATCATAGATATTATACCTGAAAGTACAATGTTTAATACTTACAGCTTCATAGCAAAATATCTTGTTAATGCAAGTGGCTCATTTCTTTTACTTGAGTTAGGTAGAAACCGATAATTATACCAGATTTAATCTTAGACTGGTGGGAGTAAAAACCTAAGAGCATCCACTTAGATGACATTTCACATGTTATCCTTTTTACTGTAAACTTCAGTCAGTGATACCAAAATGGAAGAAAATGCCTGAAAAACATAACACGGATTGACCCAAGCTTTGTGAATTTTGTGTAAACAGAACAATTTAGAAGCTATCGATGGTTGAGCTAGAACAAAGTCGCTAGTCATCGTGACCGAGAGGTTGAGCGTACTGGCCTTGTCCAGGTTGTCCATTACGCCAAATTAAGAGCTATCTCCCAGAAACTGTAACTACGGTCTGCTCAGCATAGTTACAGTATAAATCACAGGTTGGCTTGGTGGGTGTTGAACGAACACAAATATGCCTGAGCAGGCGTCTTCAATAGGGATTGGCTAGCCGTTACTTACTACTGTGCAGTCATTTCTCAACCTGTATCTAATGATCCTGTACTACCTGGCCCAGGAATTGAACCCATATGAAACCAGGTTCATCAGATGTTTTAATCCACTTAGGTAATGTATGAGCGAGCAATAACTGAGGTGTACAAAATAATAAGGAGGTGAGATATCGCGAGACTTTGTCAGCGGGACGAGAACTATTAAATAGAGGGTTCAATTCGGAATTCCTTGAAGATCAACCGGATCGATAGATACCTGAATGAGATCAGAGGGCACAATGGCCGAAATGTTGTCACAATATGAGGATATCAAGCCGACTGAAAACAGCGTAAATAATATCGTCTCGTCCCAGAAATTCATTTTTTTCTTTTATATAATTCTTATTTCTCCTCAAATCGCACATGATGCAACTGTTGTTGATTTGTCGGCTTGGAGCATTTTTTTTCTTTTCCAGTTTCACATTCTCCATGTAAAGTATAATAAACACTATTATATATTTGTTAGGTTTTATATCGAACGAATATACTTACCTAAGTAGCTCTTAAAATTCTTTTTCATCTGTCGTTTCGTTGTAATCGTAGCTTTTAAGGCAGTTGGAACGAAAAGAAATTTGAAGGAAATTTAAGGTAAATATCGAAACAACCATTCGCATTTTTCCCATTCATATATATAGTCGAGGTCGGACGACAGTCGAATACTAAACTATCAGCGACCACAACTAGATTACTCTGTGTTATACTTATTATATCAAGTTCCTAACGTTTTGAACGTCGAACCTATTTTAGGACCGACTTAGTACAAATACAAGCCTCCACTGTGAAATCATTCCGCAACAAAAATATTTTCGCCCATTCTCTAAAGTAGCTGTATCTATTTGAAAGATCTTTTACTCTTTCTTGAAGTATTGTTATATTGTTTCAGTCAAATTTTCTGTAAAATATAATCTTTTCGGGGAGAAAACACAAACAACCAAAGATTTCAGTAGCGATATTTATGCTGCATTATGGTAGAATTTATTACGCTATTTAATGATTTCATGATCAAAGTTGTATGAAACAATGTTGGGAAATTTTTCACCATACATTTCGATAAAATTTGAATAGAATTTCCTACAGAACATGAAACGAGGCTTTGATTTGTTTATTGTTATCTCTTTTATTAAAATACACCTTTAAATGCCAAATCTAGATGCGTCGTCAGTGTTGTTGCTCCCATGTCACTAGAAGTTTCGGGTCTAAATAAACAACAGACTTCTTCGATGGGCGATCCGACCGAATATGATCAGTATTCGGTCCGCACCTAGAACAAAAATTTGCCACTTGCTTTAGGACGTGATTTATATAAGTTGCTCCAGTAGACAACAACCAATCAAGACTTCACTTGGACTAATCGAAGTTATAGATTAGGTATGCATGGTTGTATTGGTCTTCCTACATGCGGCCAAGATAGGGTGTTTTTTGGAAGAACAGAAGAAAACAAACCAAAAATATATATATATATATATATATATATATATATATATATATATATATATATATATATATATATATATACATACACACACACACACACACACACATATATATATATATATATATATATACAAACAAAAAAAAAACAAAAAAAACAAACGATTTATTATATTGGCTCGCCCTGCGACTTGTTCTTTCTCTATCTCCCCTTTTAACTACCTCTATATATAAAACAGAGGATGTCTGTGTGTCTGTCTGTCTGCGTGATACCTTTTCATTTGAGATCCATCCAACCGATTTTGACCAAACTTGGCATATACATTGTGCAATGTAAGAAATAGGTTCTTAGTGTAAAAAATCGATAATTTAAAAAAAAAATCAATAATTGATAAAGACGATCAAAATTGAAAAAAATCAACTTTTTTCCTCCGATTTCGTTTAATCTCGGTATGACGAGCTCAACGATACCTCATTTTTTTTTTATTTCTACACCACTACGTTTAGCGAAAAACCGCGAAAAACCAAAAATCGACTTCTCTCTCACTGCCCCTGAAGAAGGCCGGGGCGTACAACGGCCGAAACTTTGTAATAAATATGGCGACAAAAATGAGGACAATAGTCCGAATAATGTAAACAATGGACGCTTTTCCAGTTATCAGAATTTGGAAAGGAGTTCTCGTAATGAACCTTTCAGTAGTCACTTGTATTAAATGAAAACAAACAATGTGATGTGTAAAACTGACACAATAAATCATGATACATTATGATGAAGTTTGAATGACAGATTATTCTTATGTCAAGAGTGAGAGATTTCTTAGCCTCATAGATAAGACGTTGTTTACGTGAGATAGGCCTCCAAAGACAGAAAAAAAAATGAGCTTAAACCTCTATGGATGATTATTCTTTATTTCTGATCCACGTTAATTATTTAACGGTCGAGAAATCTAAGAACGACCTGAGCATTACAAAAAAAAAAAAAAAAAAGATGAAAGAAGAATTACGTAAAATATAAAAAATTATAGTACATTATAGCGCTTCATTTAAGAAATTTGAACAAATCTCATTATCATTTACACTATTTACATACGCACTATTATCTCCATCTTCGTTGTAACGTTTCGGGCCACACTAAATCAAAACAAAAGAAAAAAAGAAACAGTAATAATAAAATTATTGACGCAACAGAATCTTTCTACTTCTGTTTGCTACAAGATTTGGCTTTGAGCGATTTGAATCCAGAAAAAAATTAAATCTCTTTCTAAAGTAACAAAACTACTCTGATTATTTTCATTTTATGTTACTTATTGATCTTTAAATGTTTACATCGCTTGTTCAATGTTAGACGCGTATTTAAAGTATTTTTATTGCTTTTACTCGCATACTCTTAAAGATTTTTTTGCGAAGAGTTACAAAAGCATAGCTAAATCTAAAATTTCGAGCTTTTAACTCTTCCTATTTAATATGGGGAAAAGACACAGGGCAGTCTACTGAATCTTATGTCAAGAATGATATGGGTGTAAGTTCACTTTAGATCTCAAGTGGAATTCGTATATACAATCTATTGCTACAAATACAGGAAAATATTTGGTTCATTTTATCACTCCAGAAGGTATCTGACTCCTTCTGTCATGCACACAAGGTTTAGACCAAAAATAGAGAATTTTGTCAAATCTGGACAGAAGCTGCTCAATCCTCACTTTCCAACTTTGATAGAGTTCAAAATCTTTTACGCAGTTTTGTACGCAGCCTCTTTCTTACAGATGCAACGTCACAAGCTTATTATCTCTACTCGATCGCAAATGATCAGATGAGCTTAGCTCTTTAGTTCTTTAGTTCCATAGGTTCAGACCTTTACAACTTGCTACTTCCACAGAATCGAATCACCCTCATTTCCAATATATTCCAAATGTAAGGAGAAAGTTGCGTGCTCATAGCCTTTTTTTTCCAAGCACATTGTAGAACAATCTTCAACTTCCTTGTACATTACATTCTTAACCTCATCAAATCAAGGGTCAATCGTTATCTTTCCACTTTATCCTCACTTCTTACCACCTCCTCTTTCATTCATATCACACACCTCATTCATCATAACCATTTCAACGGTAACTCTTCACATTAAAATCTAAGCCTATTCAAGTGAAGGGTCAATCCTTATCTATCCTTCTTTTTTCTCACGATCTTCACGTCTTTCTGCCTCCGCTTTCATTTATATCACACACTTCATTCATCATAAAACATTAACTCTCTGCCTTGTGTGGCTCCCGAGTCTTGTATTATAAAAGAAGCACCTCTAAGAATCAGTTCAATAGTGTGGAAAGGATATATTTTTTTAACTGAAGAGAAAATAACGCTGTAGCTGGCATTAGAAACTGATGAATTATGGGAACTTTATAAAGGAATACACCTAATAATCAACATATTAAATTGCACCAAAATTAAAAGACAATCACTTACCGCCTATTTTTTTTTTTTTATATACGAATAAGGCGGATTGGTGCTTTCGTTGGTAACGACTCTCTTGCTGCCAATTTACAGAAGTAACACAATGAACGATGATTGGTAAGCAGCGTATTTAGACATAGGCACTGTGGAACAATGGTTAGCAGCTCGGATTGAGGAATTCCTGTCGTTGCATTCATTTACGTGCAAATACCTTTTGAAAAGGCATGAATCCATCTCTCCTTTCCCTTTCAGCAGCTATGGGTAAATGGCAGGGCAAATTGCTACTATAGCCTTGGGTGTCAACCGGTCTAAGAGGAGAAAAACCCTCCATTCAAGGGTTAAATAGTACGACAGTCTAGGCTCTGTAGCCTTGGTTGTCAACAAGTCTAGGGGAAGGATAACATAATTCAAAACTCTATGTAGCCCTGGCAAAGCATATACTATGCAGCTAAGCAAATTATCGTGGAATTCGCATGGACTTGATGACCCTGACTACGGTCGACATCTACATCCATCATTTTCAGACGAACGCTCGTTTCACACCATGAATATATATATATATATATATATATATATATATATATATATATATATATAGAGAGAGAGAGAGAGAGAGAGAGTCATCCATAGACAGATTGTTTCGCTTTATCACAATTCATCACTGTGGCTAGACATGCGATTGCTTCAAGCCAGACCGATTTGACATCACCCCTAGGCCATCAGCGCTTGCTAGGAAGAAAGGGAATTTTTAACACACACACACTCACTATATATATATATATATATATATATATATATATAAAGAAATATACTCTTAAGGGTGCTACATTTATAGGATAAAATGCTCAATATCAGAGATAGAGCGTGTGTAAATATAAAAGTGAACATTGAAGTCAACACTTAGAAAAATCAGGCTGTTTCATGCTAGACGCAATCGTCAGGCCACGAGTGTTATATATATATATATATATATATATATATATATATATATATATATATCCCTAGGAAATTTAATTTGGATCATAACCGAAATCGTTCTTTTATAATGGAATACATAATTTACCTGTAAGGTAGGCCAATTGTCACAGAACACCAGGAGAATTATTTTTGATTTGCTGATGAAGAAAAATTTGAAATTCTATGGGGAGTTTTGTTAAAAGCGCTAGAAGCGTTTACATTAATGTAATATCGTAAAGAGGTCATTGTCGATCATGGCTCTCCACAATTTACTGTCCTTTGTAGTCCTTAGTAAATTTTGTTATCTCTCCTAATCCCTGTTCCAGCAACCATTTACACACGCTCGTTAGAAGGAGGCTATGCGCTGCTTTTCTTTGTCCATCTTGCCTTCAATATGCCCTGTGCGTGACAAATTTTCCAAGCCTTCTTTCCTCATTATGTGCACTAGATATTTCAATTGTCCCTTTCTGAAGTTAAGTATAAGTTTCTTTTTTGTTTCTATTTTCTCTGGAGGTTGGACGTTGCTCAGGGTATAGTATTCTCAGCATCCTTCTGTAGAATCGCATTTCTGTTGCCTCAAGCCTATTTTTCATTTGCGTCCATCTTTCACTATCATATAGAACCGATATCACATAACCAACAGTTAAGTAGTTTTTTTTTCTTTGTTTCTTTTCTGCGTCTCAATACTTTGATGAAATTCTTAATATATTAAGTTTTATGCCCGCAACCTGGCTAAAAAATTATCGGTTCTCGACTCGCATTTTCTTTCTTTTTTCCATATTATCCGTTTATTTTCCGAAACCATTTTGACAGTTTGTCTATTCTTTAAAATTCCTTCGATGTCTTTTGTTCTTTTCTTCTTTGTTCGTTTCTTTCTTTCTTTTCTTCTTTTTTTATTTTCTTTCGTTTTTCATTAAACTATTTTCTTCTGAATGTCTTTTTTAATATTTTATATCTATGCTTCTATCAATTTTTCATTTTTTTTAGTTACCTTTTTTCTTTTCTTTCGTTTTTTTTTCTTTCTTGCTTGCTTGCTTTTTTTCGCCAAAAGTATTTCTTTACTATATTTGTCTCTTTTCTCTTTCATTTTCTTTCTTTTTTTTTTAAACTGGCATTTTTACTTTTATCAATTTCGTTCTTTTTACTTTCATTTCTCTTTTTTTTCCGCTTCTCTTCACTTTTCTTTGTTTCCCTCTTTCTTTCTGTCCTTTTTTGTCGTTATCATTTCCTTTCTTTTTCCTTCTTTCAGGCTGATACCTCTTGTATTTTCCTTCCTTCCTTCCTTCCTTCCTTCCTTCCTTCCTTCCTTCCTTCCTTCCTTCCTTACTAATTTTTCTTTCTACCTTTCCTCTTCCCTATTCTTTTCGATTTTCACACTCCGTCTTTCCAATTTTGGTTCTTTCCTGCCCCCTTCCTTCTTCCCTTCCTTCCTTCCTTCCTTCCTTCCTTCCTTCCTTCCTAATTTTCCTTCTCCCTTTCCTCTTCCCTATTCTTTTCGATTTCCAAACTCCGTCTTTCCAATTTTGGTTCTTTCCTTCCCCCTTCCTTCTTCCCTTCCTTCTTTCTTCCCTTCCTTCCTTCCTTCCTTCCTTCCTTCCTTCCTAATTTTCCTTCTCCCTTTCCTCTTCCCTATTCTTTTCGATTTCCACACTCCGTCTTTCCAATTTCGCTTCGCTATTCCACCTTTTCGGAAACTCGCTCTACTAGCCATCGAAAAGTGTGACGACAGAGGGCAAAGGGGAA